CTCTCTCTCTCTCTCTCTCTCTCTCTCTCTCTCTCTCTCTCTCTCTCTCTCTCTCAGAGTCCGGTACTAACCTGTGAAGGTGGCGCCTTGTTGCAAGTACAACGAAGATGAAGCTGGAGCTATGGCTCCACAAGTAAGTCTCCTTGGCTTCACCAACCATCTCTATCTCTCCAACGCTACTCTAGCTCCTAATAGCGCCTAGCGCTGAAGACTACTACTAACGCTACTACTTCTACTGCAACGCTCCTCCAGAGTGCTGCTGCCGAATCCTGAAGACTGCCTCCTGCCTCCTGCACGTGAAGTGCATGGGAAGTCCCTATGAACTACCTGCCTAAATGCCTGGCGGACCGGTCCTTTATAGTGCTGGTCCGGCTAGGAGGCTGCTCTTGCCCATGTCGAATCGTGCCAAACCCTGCCGCTGAAAAAAGGTTGTCTTGAAACGGCCCTAAGAATGGCCTGCGCTTATCCCTGGTCTGACACCTAAGTTTCAGGGGAGGTCGACTTGATGAGGGCCTAAGATTTGGCCCTCCTTTTCAGGCTAAAAAGACTCGAAGCTTGGAGGGCTCTTTGTAGGCTGAAATGTCACAGGGCTTGGAGGGCCCTTTTGCTTGGTCGGGTCTTGCAGGGCCCGTGTGGTGCATAGCATGCCCCCCCCCCCCTCCTTGAAAGATCGAGCTTACCTGCGAGGACGAGGCCAAAGTCCAGGTGGGAGGGGTAGGTTGTGAAGCTTCCTTAGCTAGTCTTCGTCGCTCGTAGTCGGCATAGATTAGCGGTGTAGACGCTTGCAAATCTGCTCGTGAAATCCATCTTGTGTCCCAAAATGTCGAAGGACACGACCTCGCTTCAGAGATGAGCACCGGGTACCCAGACCCGCACCCACCTGCACCCACCCCACCCACGAGGACATTGGGTCAGGTGCGGGTCTTGATAAGGTGACCTGGGTGGGATGAGGGCGGGTCAAGGCCAGGCAGCCTGGGTGGGTGACAGGCGGGTCACCATTAGGCCTGGGTCACCCGAGTGGGTGGGTGACAGGTGGGTGAGTGCTAGGCCTGGGTCACCCGACCCACAGACCCAAGACAACCCATGAGGACCTTCCCCCCCCCCCGAAAAAAAAAAAAATCCCTGCACGACATGTCCACCCGCTTAAAAAAGTCGAAGGTGCACGCATGAAATATCAAGTCCTGTCGTCGGCCTGCCTGGAAAAAAAAAATAAGGTCGAGGTCCTCTTGGAAAAAAAAGGCAGGAACCTTCTATCAAATTTTTTGCATGCTGCTCTTGCCTCTTGGTGGCTGCACCACGCCCCACGTTTGGATGAGTTACCRCTGTCAAACGGGATGCTGAGTTTCGCTCCCATTAMAACAACAGGGGGCGAACTTAACCACAATAGGTGGCAAGGTTCGCTCCCCACTTTTGAACTTTTGGAGCGCTTTGAATTTTGGCGCCGTCATCCAGTGACGACACAACTTGTGCATGGTTAGCAACAAGGAGGAGGTGGTGGGGCGGCAAGGAGGGGGGCAACGCACCGACGGCCCGGGGAGCAACAACGCGCCTGCGAGCCACACATCGAGGGCCTGGGGAGCCACGCACTGATGGTCTGGGGAGCAACAACGCTGCTACGAGTGAGCAGCAGTTGAGAGAGAGAGAGAGAGAGAGAGAGAGAGAGAGAGAGAGAGAGAGAGAGAGAGAGAGAGAGAGAGAGAGAGAGA